AGTCTTTAGTACGTTGAATTGTCCACATTGCTTTTTTTTATAATGGTTGATTCTGTAGCAGAAATCCGGAAATTAAAACTTCACATCGTTTGACCGTTTTGATCGAGATACAAAAAGATGAGATTAGAAAGCGCAAGACTGAAAGTAAGTGAACCATGTGGTTAAATAAATATGTAGAACTTGCAATATCTCGGATGATGTTGTGCACCGGCTTGGATTCTAGTCTAATTTCTTGGCTGTACCTACACAAAAATAAACTTACCCTCAGTCCTCATGTTTCCAGATGGCAATTGGTTCCAATGGAGTTACACCTTTGTCTACTGCTCAACTACTGGCGTGATTAGCCTTTTTAATATCCAGAAACGTTATGATATTTTTGGCCACAAAAACATAAATGTTAATCATTTTCGAAATATGTGGCCAGTTTCTGAACACACACACAACCACACACACACACACACACAGAGACACACAGACACACACACTAATCACACCTTTAATAAATCGTGTCTTATTCCTTCATGAGGAGTATCAACTTCTTTTTAGTAATAAAAATATCCCATGAATCTACTTACAACTATAAGAGATGTAGAGAATACATAAACTCATATAAACTATGAATCTTGTAAAACGTCGTAGATTTTGAAATAGATGATCAAATTTTACCAAGAATAATATAAAGCGAAAATTTATTTTTTATCTGTTACTATTAATTAAAGATAACATATGAAAGAAAAAAAAGAAAATATTTATTCTATATCAAATTTAGAAGATTCTCACCCAAAACAAAATACAAGTTGCAAAGAAATGTAGGTATATCTAAGGAACTATCAAGAACATGAGTAAGAGCACTATATATTCAAAAACTCGCATTTAAGTACAACAACATATATTAATAGCTATCTGTAATACCGTTCGCATATGCCCTTTTTGAAATCACAGATAACCCGATTATAAAAAGAACGAGAAATGGCAACCACAAAGCAAGTGATGGAAGGAGAGGAGCCAGTCAGTCCAATTGCACAGCTGTTCAGCTTGCCGGGTCTCGACGTCTTCAACATTGTAACCATTGGATGCAAAACCGAGGGCGATCCATCAACCGTTGTTGAAGGATTAAAGAACACATTGATTAACCATCCACGCTTCTCTAGCATACTGGTCAGTAATGAACATACATACACATAGACATTTATGCACACATACACACATTTTCTTCTCTTATAGGTTAAGTTTTATATACATGTAGGTGACGGGTCATGGTGAGCGCAAAGGAAAACCTAAATGGATTCCGACCAAAGTAAACGTAGAAGAGCACGTGGTTGTTCCGGAAATAGATCCCAACATTGAGAATCCTGATGAATTTCTAGAGGACTATACATCAAACATGGCTCTTTCTCCGATGGATATGTCCAAGCCATTATGGGAGTTTCACCTGTTGAAACTTAAGACATCACATGCGAAATCTATCGCTGTTGCTAGGTTCCATCATTCTTTGGGCGATGGGATGTCTCTTATGTCTCTTTTACTTGCTTGTACTCGAAAAACATGTGATCCGGAGGCATTGCCTACTTTTGTGTCTCCAACGAAAAGCAAAGCGAAGAACGCTTGTTGGTTGTTGGTTGCTTGGTTATGGTTTATTCTAAGACTGATGTTCCATACTTGTGTTGAAGTTATCAAGGCTTTGGTTCATATATGTTTCGCGGGGGACACCGCAGCTTATTTAATGGGTAAACCAGGAGTTACACTTAGCACTAATAAGTTTATTCATCGGATCATTAGTTTGGATGATGTCAAAAAGGTGAAGAACGCCTTGAATATGGTACGTTTGCTTGATATAATGTCCTTTCTTTTCTTTTTGAAAGATTGAATTTTTATGTTTAATCTCTTTTTGTATCAGACGGTAAATGATGTTCTTTTTGGGATGGTACAAGCGGGTCTTTCACGATATTTGAATCAAAGATATGGTAATTTAGTCATCTTCTTTTTTTTTTTTACTACTCTTCTTTAATAATATAAAATAACATTTGTTAGCATTTCTCTCATATTTTCAAACTTGTGAACAGATCTTGAAACAACTTTAAAGACAAGAAAAACTCTTCATGGTGTTGTTTTTTTCAACCTCAGGCCAAATAAAGATATCGAGGTGATGAATGACATACCCTGGTCCTAACCAAATTTTTTTCCGCTATTTATCTTATTTGAAATAGTAATAATCTAACATACAAATGTATACAGGATTTGGCTAATATGATGGCAAAAGGTTCTAAGTGCAGATGGGGAAACTCGATAGGTTATGTTCTGATTCCTTTGTGGCTGAAGTCAGAAGATGATATTCTTGAATATGTTCGACAGGCTAAAACTACTATGGATCGTAAAAAACTTTCCCTAGAACCTCTATTTTCCTCTGGATTGCTCAAATTGACCATGAAGGTTTTTGGACTTACCGTAAGCTACAAAATCACACGTACATTATCTTGATAGCTCCAAATCTAATATTTATGTATTGTATACATCTAATCAACATATATTTGGATGCATGGGGTTGGAAAACAGGCACTTAAAAACCTTGTAAAGAGGATATTTGGTAGCACAACAATGATATTCTCAAATTTGGTTGGTCCTGCCGACGAAATTAGTTTTTTTGGCCATCAAATATCTTACATTGCTGCAAGTACCTTTGGCATCCCACAGGTACTATATCTCTCCTTACAAACAAAATCTTCTTTGAAACCATTACCAAAAAATCACATTTATTGAATTTATTAGCAATTAGGCTACTAATGATGGCTTCTATTTTTTATTTTACAACTTACGCACGCACTCTACCGGATTTGAATCCATATAGTAATACAGTAACAGCACAAGTAAAAAACAATGTACAACATGTCATAACTCATGATCAATGCTGGTGACCTACTAACCTTTATAGAAGAAAATAATTGACGAAGAATATTCAATTCCTCATTATTCTTAAAAAAATTTGAACCTTAAAAATGAAAAAAAAAATGTTAATCATCATTAATTATATATTTCCTCAAAAGTATACATCTCGAAGAATTGTAGAACAAATTCAGTCCTCATGAAACCACAGCCACACCGAACAAATCTTACTAGAACTAGTTAAACACGTAGTAAACAAAATGCAACGTCCTCCTTAACTGAAGAAGCTTTTTTTGTGTGTTTTGTTGAAAAGGCGCTCATTATCGGTATTCAGAGCTATGTGGACAAACTTATAATCAACATTAATGTTGATCTCGACGTGATTCCAGACCCGCATCACCTTTGTGATCTCATCATCGAAGCTCTCGGCATGATGAGTTCTGCTGCTCCAAAAAAGTTTTTTCATGCTTTAAAGGTTTAAACAAAATATTTGGCGTGGAAAATGAAGAACCCTTATTTACATGTATAATTTACAATATATTGAGCCATGTAATTATTTTCAATGCTTTGTCTAATTACAGCTCAACCTGAGTTTATCAATTTTTACGTAACGGACGATTTCGTTTTCACTAAATCAAATGGTTACAGTTATTTAAAATACAATTAAAAAAAAAAACTATTGTGTGTGAATTTATGGAACCTATTTAGAAAGTTTTTTCTTTCTTTCGCTGAATACTTTTCTAGAAAGTTTCAACGACTTTTAGAGCACCTCAACATTCATCCATAAATGTTTGTACGATTGTGTTGTATTGTCTCAATCCATTGCCACAAGTCTCAGACGTGACGATGTCAGAACTTAAAACTAAAGGACCCTCGCTCTTTAATTTTCTGCAAGTGGACTCCATCGATTTAAAATGGCATAACACTATATTTGTAAAACGGAATTTATGATGCGCAAACTACATTTGAGGACGACAATAATGGTCTGAAGCAGAAGTTTAGCTAGGGAGTAGGGAACATAATCAATGCTGCATCTTCCCTTTTTCTTTCTTAGTCCATACAGTTTCTTTCTTTGCTCAGTTAACTCAAATGGCTACAATACTCAACTTGGAGAAGGTTTCAGAGATTTTGGACTTTTGGGGAGAGAACTCAGGTCCCATGACTTGGAGACTCACACCGGCTGAAGTTAGAAGGTTTTGGTCTTCGGGTCGAGTTTAAACCCGAATCCATTGCTGCTCTCAAGTTTTTTTTTTTTTTGCTGCTCTCAAGTTGTGATGTTACTTCTTTAGTTTATGTCAACCTACAAATTACTCAAACCAATTTTCATATAAACTGGTTGGTTCTACTGTCTACATATGTTTAAACTGAATGAAAACAGAATTAAATCAAATTTGGTGAAAGCGCTACTTGAAGAAACTGTAGTTATTTTTTTTGTTATTTAGCCTGTCAAACGAATCTTAAGCAGCACGAAATAGTAGAGGGCACTAGCGAATATCATGACTGTAATTTCAATTCAGATCAGAAATCATTACTATTATGAAGAAAAGCAAAGATCGATTAGTTCATTATTTTTCTTCGTTTTTTTGCCTATTTAAATGTTCAGCTTTATATCAACAAAATTGATTGCAGTATAATCTGACTAATTTATTCATTTATTAAAAAAATCTATTTTAAATATAACCCATCATCTGAAGTTTGAACAGAGAGTTACCAAAAGAAATATGAACAACGAGACAAATAACTAACAACGAGAAAATGCTAATGATATTAAGTAATAACAAAGATTGATAATATAATACAACAAAATAAATACTCCACGAAGGAGATCGTTAAACATTAATCTAAATTCAAAAAGGAAAGATAAACATATTTGAAAAGGAATAAATTTAGAAAAAGAAATAAATTTGGAAAAAGAAAGAAAGTAGATAAAACCTTAGAATAAGGATTAGGGATCGTAAACGTAGAGCACTATATATAGAGGGATAGGGTAGTTTCTTTGTTTCTCTATCTCGAAACCCTTCTTGTTCGTTTCTCAGATTGTTTCATCTTTCTTCAGCTTGTTCGCTTCTCAGTTTGTTTCATCTTTCTTCTTTGTTCTTCTTCGTGTATACATTCGAATCATGGCGACAACAACAACGAAGAAGACCAACACCATGATCTTTGGCTTTGTGCTCGTCATGACAACCTTCACGCTTCTCTTGGGTAGCTGCTCAGCGACGATCTACAAAGTCGGAGACTCCGATGGATGGACGGCCAAGGACGACGTGTACAACAGTTGGGCCGAGCGTAAGGAGTTTCACGTCGGTGACTCACTCGTCTTCGAATACGATCGCAACGTCAACGACGTCACTCAAGTCTCTGGCGCTTTAGAGTACCAATTCTGCGACTCTTTTTCTCCCAAAGCGGTCTACAACACAGGGCATGATGTCGTAACCTTCACGGAACCAGGATTTTACTACTTCATCAGCTCAAATCTTGTTCAATGCCAATTAGGGCAGAGACTCGACATTCTTGTCGTCCATGACGCATCACGTCCGATTCCTCCTCCACCACCGAGCATGTTCTATCCTTTCGCAAGGACATACAAGGTCGGTGGCTCTAAAGGATGGAGGGTTTACGACAATGACTTCTATCACAAGTGGAGCGAGGAGAAACAGTTTTATGTTGGAGACAGACTTCTTTTCAAGTACAACAACGAAGCCAATGACGTCTTAGAGATCAGTGGTCATCTTGAGTTCAAATCCTGCGACCCGACTTCTCCTGTAGCCGTGCACAAGACGGGATACGATTTTTTCAGGCTCACCAAACCAGGAGTCCATTACTTCATTAGCTCGAAGACGGGTCATTGTGCGGCTGGGCTCAAACTTCGAGTCGTGGTGCAACAACCTCTCACCATTGTTCCCAAGGAGATGGAGTTGTCTTCTAGCCTATGAACCGCCTCAACAGATGGATATGCACCTTCAGACTCCAACCCCATTATTAATCATTAGTTTCTATTTAGTTCTTGTTTTAACTCACATTGTATGGCTTTTTCAGTCGCATTGTATGGGAAAGTAGAAGCCATTTTACACTTCCAAATTTGTTAGGTTTGTTAAATTTGGCCTGGACTTTTAAATTTCTGCAACTGTATTCCATCGATTGAAAAGGGCATTTTTTTGTGAAACTAAATGTATTTTTTTTTTGTGTGGTGAAACGGAAGAAATATGAAGATTCATATATATACACGCAAGAACCAAGAGTTCTAACCAAGAAGTTTAGGCATTAGAAGATATATACATATGACATTAGACAACCCAACAGAAAACCTTAGATACCGTGAAAACAAAAACAACAACAGAACAAGTTAGGGTTCACTAAGACAAAACACAAAGGCATGCATCAACAAGCGGCGCCGAGTCTCTGGCCGAGATAAACAAAGTGCCAGGTTAGAGACATGAGCGTCAGTATATTTAACCAAGAGGAGTATGTGTTGAGCTTGCTCAGCCTCTCGCTTAGCTTTTCCAGTTTCCGCCTCACCTCTTGCTCACTCGTCCTCTCTCCTCCTCCTTTCCCTTCTTCCTTTTCCGCCTTCATCCTCTCAAACATCGCCTATATATCCATAACAAGCGTATTAGTAGAACCCAACATTAATCTCTCCCTGCATCTACTAATATTATTCATTCAATAATTTTACTAAAGATCATCCCACAAAACGATCACAGACGGAAACTTAAAGTAGTTATAATCAGAATTCATGCAATGGCAAAGAGAAGTATTGTCTAAGCACAAAACAATTCATGGCCCTAAACAACATAATAACTAATCACTAGACTCCCATCACTTGACTATTTATTTTTACTCGATTTATATAACAGATAAAGAAAATCCAGGGAAGTGAATATAAACCTTGGTGGCACGTGGCTCAACAAATGACTTATTGGCCTCGATCATAAAGAAAGAAGCCAAGAGGTTAACGCCTTGCCACATCTCCGTCGCGTCAGTTAGTAGTTTCATCCGCCTGCTAACCACGTGACCAAGCAAACCCACCAAGATTCCGACCGATGTTGTCTTGAAGTAAACAGGATACAGCTTGCTCTGCACCACCCCAAACTGTTGCCTCCCCAACACCGAAGCCAACACGTAGCTCGACACAAACGTCACCCAAACGCAACTCCCAAACGCCGCCGCAATCGCCGTCAGTCCCACCACGCTAGCTACCTTCTTCGGACTAAGCACATTCGCCGTCGCTGACCCAAACCCACGCGCCGCCGTCTTAGCTCTCTCCCACGCGTTTCGGGACTTGTGAACCGCCGTCTCCTTCAACTCCTGGGCCTTTTCTCTCACTCTGTCTTTCGCTCTCTCCTTCGACTCGTGAGCCTTATGGGCCACGGTGTCCTTCACGTTATGGGCTTTCTCTGTAACCTTTTCTTTTGCATCTTGGGCTTTATGTGACACACTCTCCTTCACATCATGGGCCTTTTCTGCTACCTTCTCCTTAGCATATTGGGCTTTATCAGCCACCGTTTCTTCCACGTCACGTGCCCCACGTGCAACCGTCTCCTTCACGTCGTAAGCCTTACCCGCAGCAGCGTCCCCGGCATCGGAGATTTTCTCTCCGACATCACCGACGGTATCACCGGTTCGATCTTTAGCCCGACCAACCACACTCGCGATCTTCTGCCTGCACTTACCGAACGCGTCGCATATGACTTCTCCAGCCGTCGCGTGGTGATCACGCGCCTCCGAGATCCCTTGGCCGACGTTTGGAAGATATGACGCCGCTTCTTTCGCTCTCTCTTTCGCTTTCCTGAACAGAGTAGTTTCCTCATTTTCTTCTTGTTTTTGTTCTCCTTGTCCTTGATCTGCCGACGGCGGCGAGATCGAGACTCTGGTGTTGGTTTTGCCGTCGCGATCGTACTCAACCACCACAACGCGGTGGCCGTCTTTGACGATGATGTCTCCCTCCGGCGTCGTCGTCTGGTGGGTGGACACGGCTGGGCTCGGAGACCATACTTCCGCCGCAAGTAAAGTGCTTAACACAAGACACAGAGCCAACAGATTCGTCATTATACTTATGTCTACGGTTGTTTACTCTTCCCTCTCGCTCCCATCATCAAGAGTGTTTAACTACCACTAATGGTGATAACTACTTTTGTGAAACCGCAACAAAGATATTTTCTTTCTTCTTTAAGCTTCTGATTGACATGTGTCGCCACGTCTTCGCACGTGTCGCTTTTTCGATAAAAGTAAACTTCTCCATCGTGTCTTTGCACGTGTCGGTTCCTCGACAAAAGTAAACTTCTCGATCGCTTCGCCGATAAAGCACTCTTGCAGTTTTTTGAATCACCCAAAGGCCAAAACCGTCATTAGTTAAAACTTAAAAGGAAACACGTAATGGGCCTTGTTTTGGTACATCGTGGGCCTAAATATACAATCATCGACTACAAACCTGTCTGGGAAGTAAACGAATCAAGCATTATGCAAAATTCTTAAAACTGAAATTTATAAAATCAGAAATAAGAAGTGTCTATTTAAAGCAAAAGGCATAACGGGATAATCTTTCCGAGTCAGGTAAAATACAAAAAAAAAAAAAAAAAGTCAAAAAACTAGATCATCAGTTCCTTGTACAGCTGACACAGAGAGAGATTCACCGCTGCAGCAAAACTCTAGACGCGATGCTAATCAACAAAACAAGAATGGTGAGAGAGCTTACGAACACTCCACATACAAGTGCTTTATCAATGAAACCCCAATGTGATACGAGTTCTTGCTTCTCTTCTTTTGACTTTCCTTGCGTTCTCCTTGGCATAAACCATCCAAGCATGCCTTGATCCTGTCTTGTAATACTTCCAGAAATGTTGCAGGCGTCTCCTGATTTCTCTTCTCCACAGCTCTCAGCAGAGCAAGTGCAAGTCTCGCAAGTAATAGCATCAGACGAACAAGGCGGTTTTTTCTCCTCTCGGGCTTGTGGTTCTACCTTTGCAGTGCTTAATGTCTCAATCACTTCCCCAAACACTGACCATCTCCCCACAGATGTTATCCTCGCTATAGCTGATGTCCCAAGCATACTTTCTGGTCCAGTAACTAAGACTTGTATATATCCTTTGGTATGCCCAACCTACAGATTTTCAAAGGCAATACGTATGAATATTTTAAAATGAAACAGTTTTGGCAATCAAAGTTTAAAAAAAAATGTATATGGTCCAGGAGGGAGCTTACCAAATGGACTCCATCAGTAGCTATTTCGGTTATCCAAATCCTCTCTTCTTTGCCCTCCATTCCGGTGTAAGGTGCAAAAGCCTCGAAGACACAAGTCAATTCACGGCTTCGTTGCTTCACAATCTTACTTTGTACCTTCTTCATCTTTGCTGCTGGGGTCCCTATATCATAAATGGCACATCCGAAAAAATGTTTAGAAAAGATGAAACACTTATCAAATAGCAGATTACATGCATAACCAAATCCCTTACCTGGTCTTGGGTAAAACTGAGAAATATGAACTTGGGCAAACTTGTAATCCTTGATAAGCTCAACTGTTTGAGAAAAATCCTCATCGGTTTCGCCTGAAATTGAAAAAGTAACAAATGTATTTTACCACACTACAATCATATGAATGATCAACATGCTTCAAAGTCGTTAGACCATCTAATCACACATCAAACAAATGCATGCAATTAATTTGCTTTTGTACGGCAATGTGATTTTTTTTTTTTTTTGTCTCAGCACTTTCAATGAACGAAAATTAAATTATAGAGGAAATGTTATTAGAAAAAAAATACAGAGACTTTCAGGTTTATCCAGCACTAACCAGGAAAGCCGCATATTATGTCTGTAGCAATTTGCATTCCTGGCACAAGTTCTGTTAAGGTGTCTACCACGGTTCTGAATTCACCCGATGTATATTCCCTGTTCATGGCCTGCAACAGTAAATAGTCAGGTAAGATAAGAACAAGATTTCTGCAGTTTTACGAAATTCTGGGCTCACCGTCAACACAGAATCACTGCCAGATTGCACAGGGACATGAAGAAAGGTGTAGACACATGGGTGGCGTAAAACAGCTGCTATTTTTTTCAAATGCTCAAGAATAAAGGGAGGATTTGTCATCCCAATCCTTAACATCGTGCTTCGATCAGAAGGAAGCTCCTTAACAATAGCATTAAGCAGTATTGGAAGATTCACTCCTATGTCACGACCTGCATCGATTTAGGGGACATTAGCTCCCAAAAAGAAAAACAAATCATGACTTAGCTACCAAAAACAATTTAGCCCCCCTGAATCTAAGTTTCAATGAAAAAGATAAGTTAGATTTAAAAAGCAACCATATGCTCCAGTGTCCTCGCTACTCAGCCAAATCTCCTTGACTCCTTCAGATATTACAGTTCTCACCCGCTCCACCTGCAATGTAAGACGCTTAAGAAAGCTTTCTGGAGGGAAAACAGGAAATGGGAAATTTCTGGCAAATGGAATGCAAACAAAAACTCTTCTCAGTGAAGCCGAATCTGCTTACAAGACTGTCCACTGTGTAGCTTCCTAAGTGACCACGGGCGTGCTTGGTCTTGCAGTAAGTACAGGCACCCAAACAGCCAACGTTAATGGGGAGAATCTCGATAAAATTGTTCTTCCGCACCTGCAATGGAAATTGACTTTTAAGTTTTAAGCAAAACTAGAGGAACCCAAATGAACTAAACAAGAAGTTGTGTAACCCATGAAAACCCAAGCAAATTTATATGATAGCAATAAGAGCTGTACTTAGATCAGGTTTTCAATTATCTTCTACTTATTTAGTGCCAGGAATAGCCATACTCAACATCAAAGTGGAAAGCAATCAGAAATTAAAAATTTGTACACACCTTTGGTAGATCAAGCGCAGGCAAAGTCTTCCGATTCAGCAGCCGCACTTCATGGCCTTTAAGAGTTTCTTCAACAATCTCAACAACACGATCAATCTGTTGGACTCCAACTACACTGACGCCTTCTAGTTCTTTAAGGTCACGACTTCCCTGAGGAACACATCCGGCTATCACAAGAGGCTTTTTCCCACTTCGACCCCTCGATATCAGAGTAGACATTGCAGACTGACTAGGGGATTTCACAGTACAGCTGCATCAATCACACACATGGTGAACACAAATAAAGCCCATATTTTGGGCTGCAAATATGTGAAGTTGCAAAATCAAACAGTGGGAAAGTTAACTATTTGCTCGCATTCTTGTATAGCACAAGAACATGTCACAGTACAAAAACATGCATTGGGTACACCGGAGCTGAAGCTTACGTGTTAATGAGCCACAGATCAGCATCCTCTGGGACTTCTGTCAACGCATAGCCAAATGCAGTAAGCTGACCAGCCATATACTCACTGTCACTCTGAACAAAAACCAGAACAAGAGGAAAGACCGAGAGATCAGTCAGATCAGATCAGGACGGCTATATACGATTAGCTTAACATATCCTAGATAAAAGAAATATGGATCTCTCAATCTCCAGTATAAAAACATGAAAGTGTATCCTGATGAGGCAATCAACACCTAAACACCTACGAATTCCAAAATACAATCGAACATGGAAATTTTATTAACTAACTTGCCTGGTTATGGGAACATCCAAATGTCTTGATGTAAATTGTCTGCGAAAAATCATCGAGAGGACACGAAAGTAGATGTAAGTGTATCCAATATCCGTCGACGAATATAGAAACTGAAGCAAATGAAATCGAGAGAGGGAGAGAGTGGAGGAAGAGAATAACCTGAGTTCCGGGAATCTTCAAAGATGGTGGAGCAAGCGAGTCACGATTCGAAGCGGTGAATTCATGCTGTTTCGAGCTACTACGTTTACTCTTAATCGTCTTCGGATTGATCCCGACCGCATTCAACGGTAATCGGAAACCTGGTGGTGCACCACCGGTTCCTCCGGCCAACAAATCCTCGATATCCTCCATACTATTTTCTCTCTCCACGGCGGCGCGTTAACGAGGAGAAGCAGCGACAATGGAGTGTGGTGAGGGGGTTTTGCAACGCAGCAGGCACGGTGGATCGCCTGGGCCCGGGTCGGGTTCAAATACATTTACAAGACCCAATAGAATTAAAGCTAACTTAGACCCATTTATGACTTATAATGGGCTAATGTAATGGTTGTAAGTTTTCTTATGGCATTGATAAATTTAATATCATGAATTTCTCAAAAACACAGTTTGAAAAAGTTGTGGCACAAAAGAGTTACCAAACAAGATGATTTTACTTATGAACATAATTGTTATTCTTATAGACATAACACAGCCCAAACAAGATGAAAAAAAACGAAAGCATTATCCTTTGTCGAGTGTTTACGATTAGAAATATGATCTGAATTCCTTTTCCATCTTAACGTGTTTAGAAATGATAACGTGCATATAGACGCAAATGTGAAAACATACTAAAACAAATTCTACAATTTTTTTTATAATTTATGATACATCAAAAAAATTTCAAAATAGTTAAGACTTGCGTAAAAATATTTGGAATATGAGTTATGACGACAAATTTTGACATTTTCAGTATGTTTACGGTAGTGTGTATTGTATATAAGAGTGTTTCTCACAACTCTTACCAAGTCATTGAATTTGTTAACTCACAACGCTTTAATGGCTATGTTGTTTGGTAAATCGTTTTCTAGACTTGCATCCCAATTATTGTTTTCAATAACATTTTGTTTAGTTTGATTTAGAGTTATTCAAAATATAAGATCTTGAATATTCCTAAATTGGGTATTATCCAACACAAATATAATATCTTGAATATTTTTAACATATATGTATTGATTATTATTTTAAATAATATCATTTATTTTAATATTTTAATAAGTAAAAGAAACTAAATATACTTTAGATTTATATCCATATATACTTAAAACAAATCTGTAAGTTCTATATTTGACTATCTCTTGCAGAGAAAATATTTTCCATGATTTATCTCTATATTTAATTGAGCTTTCTATATTTGTAACGTTTATTTATGTATATTTTATAAATTAAAATTTATTTATGTAAATGATTATAAAATATCTTATAAATAAAAAGTCGACTAATTTTCTAACGATCGACTAATTTATAACGGTCAAAACACACATACAAAAGGTCGACTAGTTTTCTAACGGTCAGTAATACTTTTCCTAAAGTATTAGATTTGCTCTGTTTAATATTTTTGAATTTTGAATCTAAAACCAAAAGCATCAATATTTTTAGTGAAACAATTTATGGTATAAACATAGAAATTACTTCTTTTGGTAAAAAAAATTTCTAGTCAACTATTGTTTTGGAAAAATATAGTTACTATACCAAGAGGGATACTAATGGTTAGCTAAAACCGGAATACTAATTAATATTTGTTTTGTCAATGAATAAAAATATTAAAATATCATTTTGTCTTAATTTTTTTTTTAGTTTTATTATCTATAAAATTCTGAAAACATTTATTTAACAATCTGACTCCATAAAAAGTTATTGGGTTTTTTTATAAAGACCAAAAAGTTTTTCATGTTTCTTTTTAACCACCTACAAAAATGACTACTCAGAAGTATAAATACATAAAACTATAATGTACTATGCCTCTTCTATTACTCTGATATCACAAATTTTAACTTAAGATTGATTCTCAGACAAGAACAAGAACTTTCAAGTCTCAAACATGTCGGGTCTCTCAAATTTTCGTCCTCAATCTGAACCACGACCATCTGTGGTAGGTCCCAAACTTTGCTATGTTATACAATAATCCCACAGTTAATTCTCATTGTTTATGTATTTAATTTTAAATTGGGTTTAATTATGGAGACCTTGTTGTTTTTTTCCAAGGAATAAGTTGATTTTCGATTGTTGTTATATATTCTAGGCTATAGATCTATCATTGATATATCTTGTATATGTTATCATATACTGAATCAAACTTATCTTGATTTCAAAGCAAAGATGATATGTGTATGTATTAAAATCAAAATTATCATTTGATTCTTGAAAAATACAGGTGATGTTAATATATATTTGGGATGGGCAGATTAATCAGAAACATGAAAACTACTTTTTTTGTTATTGAACTTAGTTTTTTCTAAGTCTAATTAACAGATAGATATGATGAATAATCAAATGTTTAAATGGTTTGACAAAAATAATCTATAGATTTTGTTTTAAATTTTCGCGGGAAATTTGAATAAACTTTTTTTTATTTACGTGCGAAATTTGAATTAGATGCTTTCTTTGTTTGTGCGCGCAAACAATCTAATCTAACATTTAATTTCAATTAAAGATAGATATATAAGAAATTATTGTGTTTCTAATATTTAAGATTTGTTTCTTGTTTTTAAGATTTGTTTCTATATTCTTTCTCTTTTTCAGATATAAATAATTATTTTTAATAATGAATAATAATTGCATTGGGTTTTGTAAATGTATTTATTATTTTGTAAGGATTGTTGGATTGAAAAAAAAAACTAAAATACTTGAAATAGGGTGAAACAAACTCTAGAGATACTTGTGTATGCTAATATGTTTTTTTCTTCAAAATGAATAGGTTCTTGCTCTCCCTGCTCTCTCTCAAATGCCGGCAAGACTACGCCGAAATAACAGAGTAAGTATTTCAGTGTTGTACTTTTCATGTTCTAAATTGTTTTATAATTTATATCAGCTTGATCTCCTAAAACTTAAAATATTTTAGGAACAATCTTATTTTCTTATATTATCTTATATATAAAAGACAATCAACTTTTTCTATATGCTTAACACATCAGCATTGGAGAAGTTGACACCTGTCAACTAAATTTTAAATAATAAATTTTAATATTAAATTTTAAAGCATTTAAAGAATATGAAAAGTTTGTATTAATTAACATTTATATAAGCACTTAAAGAATATGAAAAGATTATATTAACTAACATTTATATTAATGTTAAACAAAAATTTATGTTATAACTAATTAAAAATATTGATGGATATATATAATTTTTATATAACTGTTGATTATTTAATAATATTCAAGATGTTAAAATTCATTTTTAAGATTATTTATAATAAAATATAACAAGTAACAAATAAAATGATGGTTATATTAATTTTAATTTTTTTTATTAATTGACTATTAATTAATATTTGTTCACTAATTAAAAATATTGAATGATATGTATTAATTTTAATATAATTTTAAATTATTAAATAATATTCAATATATATTTTAAATTAATATTTTAAAAAAATTTAGAATACAATATTAACAAGTAAGTAAATAATAAGTGATGATTATATTAATTTTTATAAAAATATAACAAAAAAAATTGAAAATTATAAAAAGAAAATTCCGCACGTTACGTGCGGGTATTCACCTAGTTTTTAATAAATAGATAAAAGTATACAAGTTAAGTTATCCAAAGAAATTTGACAACTTCGTCTTTCTTTTCTCAATGATACATAGTAGTTTAAATTTGTGAAAATTTTGTCATTTCTATGCATGAGTTCTAAGATAGTTAAATATCAGACAGTTAACACAAAGCTATTTTGGTAAAAAAAACAAAGCAGATTAGCTTTGTAATTTGTTTCCCATAAATATATATGCTAAACGCAAAAATGTAGTACACTGTAACTCTTTTAATATACACCGTATACTTTGGTTGTCACATATATATGTATCTTAAACAGCAATTATTAAAATGTATAAATGAAGAATTTTGTAAATTACATGAATATCTGTAAAGAATGATTTTATAACTTCATTTCTTAGTTAACCGTACTTCAGAAGTTTAAACTTTAACTGCATGTACTCACTGCAATGTTTACGTATGTTGTAGAGAAGGTTTCATCATGGTGAAGCTGTTCAAAATAATGAAACAAGAATGGTTATTATACCGGAGGATGAGCCACTTATGGATGTTGATCCTATTTCTGTCGTATATTCAGAAAATAGTCAGAGCCATGGTCGTGGTTGTGGTCGTGGTGGTGGCTGTGACCATGGTCGTGATCATGGTCATGACTGTGGTTGTGGTCGACAAAATTGTAGTTTAAGAGACCAGGTGCATTACTATAAACCTAAAATTGATATTTAATTAGTGATAATACACACTAAATATGTATATAATGTGACTAATTTATAATTTAATTGAACATATAATGGGAAAATTAGGACACAAACACATTATGGGATAATTCTATGTTTTCGAGTTCAATGATTGGTTCAACAAACTGGTCATGTTTGCTCTACACCTACTGAGTTATATAATTTTATGCAGAACCGGTCTTTGACTAAAGCTGGTAAAGCTATGGCTTTAGGCGCAAAAAAATTTAATAAAACTTTAAGGGCAGTAAATTCTAAAAATGTAGTTGTAGTGTAGTGGTTGTTTATATTTTTTAGGGTTAGAGGTTAATGGTTCGACTCAATTTCTTGTGATTGGGCTTAATTTTTTTAATTAACTTTAAGCTTAATAATGGTATGGGCCAACTCTGCTTCTATGTTATAAGTTGTTTTTTTCTTTCTCTTCTGTTTTACATATTAATGATAATGTATGTTGTAGAGAAACTTTCATGATGGTGAAGGTGCCCAAAATAATGAAACAAGAATGGTTATTATACGAGAGGATGAGCCGCTTATAGATGCTGTTCCTATTTCTGTCGTATATTCAGAAAGCAGTCAGACATATGGTCGTGGTCGTGGCCGTGGCCGTAGCCGTGGTCGTAATCATAGTTGTGGTCGTGGCCGTGGTCGTGGTAGACAAAATCGTAGCTTGAGAAACCAGGTGCATTACTATTATAGTAAAATAAATATTTAATTAGTGATGATATACATTAGATATATATATATATATAATGTGACTAATATATAATTTAATTGAGCATATATTGGAAATATCAGAACACAAACACTATATGGGATAGTCATATGTTTTCAAATTCAATGATTGATTCAACAAGTGCTCAAGCTGGTCATACTCACTTTATATCTACTGAGGTATATACTTCTATGTTATAAATTATTCTTTTCTTTATCTTCTGTTTTTCATATTAATGATAAATATATGTCTAAAATAATGAACATAACTAGCTAGTACTACATAATGCATATAATATATGTTTAGTTTGGATGTGTGAGTTTAAGTGAGTTAACTTTTACAGGAAAATGCACCAATTCAACCATCTTCTGCAAACAATGTGGTGAGTTACAAATTCGAATCTCTTAATTAACCATGAATGCACAAAGTGGATGAGCATTCACGCGCATATCTATCCACTTATTCTAAACATCTTTTTGATAAAAATGAGATTTTATTTTTGTTAAAATAAATATAAGAGTTTTAGATATTTTAACAGGCATAAATATGTATAATTTTAATCTTTTTTTTATACAGGAAGTTGAAGTTGTTAATTTAGAGAATGATATTGAAATAGATGAAACTGGTAAGAACAATATATTTAAAATAAATAATTATTTAGTTATCACAAACAAAAATATATTATTATTGACTTATAACTGGCCAAATTTGTATTCCTACCAAAACTGAAGATGAAATTTTCGGAGGCTTGGAAGATCTTAATGTTGATCATGGGATGCCAACTTCACCCATCTATAATTTAGGTTTGTATCATTTATATTTTACCCTTTTATATTCTAAATATAATATATATATATAATATATTGTATTAGTTTAGTGTTCATGAATCTGATGTTATGTATTTTCCTTGCAGATTTTCAAAATCAAATTGCTTACATCAACCGTTATTCTGGTACGGATAATGGTTCTAAATAGTTGGATCCTTTTCGATCAGGTTTGTACTACTAAACCTACATATACACATATATATGGATATAATATTTATTTTAATCTAATATATATATTAGAGATAAAAGTTAACAGTAATGTGACATTGTTTTATTTTTTTTTCATTTATAGATATGCATATGGTGGTCATCTGAATCAAGTCGGTGATATAGTGTTGATGTGATCTAAATCATCATCGAACTTTTTGATTATTTACCAGATGCAAATTGACAATTTGTATATCTGCAATCGGATGTTTTTAATTGACAGCTATATTTGGAAATTGGAAAGTTACAAACATATCAATGCATTAAGACAAATATTTTTAAAAATTATTTGATAATTCATAATTCGGACCAACAAAGTTTATAATGATTTCAGATATTTTGTAGGCGACTATCTAATTTTTACTAATGGTAATTATGATAAAGGTGAGAAAATACATAGTTTGATTGTTTGATTGACAACAGTCACTTACCCTATTTTAACTAAGGAGAATTGTTTTTATAATGCAAATTAAATTACAATTTGTTCCCTTAATGTTTTCTAAAAAATATTTGTCTTTTTAATGTTTAATTTAAATTTAATCCAATTATACCCTTTAATTTCGTATTAATAAATTAATTTATTTTTAAAAATGTTTTAAGAATAAAAAAAAGAAAAATAAGTAGAACACAAATTCTACCAAGGTTAAAAAAAAAAAAAAAAGGAGAAACCCATCTTCTTCACCTCCACCGTGAGTCTCCATCTCCTCCAAGTCACCTGCAAACTGTAAGTAAAACATATTTTTTCTTCTTCCTTCTCTGTCTAGGTCGAATTTCTTCTTCTCCTCCATTCAAACCCTTGATTCTAGGGTTTACAATTTCTCAATTGATTTGGGGGTTTTGTTTCTGGGTTTGAGTTTTCATTCAAGTGTATTCTCATTCAATTGTTTTTGAGTTTTCGGTCATAGGCACATGTATTCTCATTCAATTGTTTTTGAATTTTCGCTCATATCCACATGACCGATTCTGGGTTTCATAATTTGGTGATTCTGGGTTTGCTAATTTCGATTCTGGGTTTGCTATTTTTTGTTTACTTCAGTATCAGTGGCGCTTGCATTACGATCCACCCACAAATCCTGCAGCTCCTGCTCGTATTCCTGGTGCTTAGCTTCGGTGAGTTCTCCTTTGAAATCCATCGACTCTCTTCTATTTTTGTTATCTTCTTCATCGCATGTCTTCTTCATCACAAATCCTGCAGCTCCTGCTCGTTTCCTTTGGTGATTTTGTTGATTTTTCTTGTTTGATTTTATTAGGTTCCAAGATTTAGCGTTGACAGGCTTGAACCTCAAGATAACTCATCTGAGGTATTTCAATAACCCTTCTGATCTTTTATCTATTGTTTTCATGATTCTGCGTTACCTTTACATCAGAGAGAATGCATTGCATTAGTATTATACCATTACACGACCTGCATTGGTTTACCATTCAAACCTATGGATCTGTAAGGTCTTTTCTGGAGCTGTTATTCCTTTTTGTGTAATTTAGATCACTCCAGTTATCTGCAATTCAATGGCTCGCTTATTTTAGAAGCTTGTAACAGCTGTCAGCCTACAGGAATTTCTAGAACTTATTAGGCTCTTTATTAAACGGTTTTATCTGCTTTTGTTTAAGCTCTTTACTAATTAGTTTATGAATTGGTCTAACCTGCAACTGACCTACTGGCTATACTGATTGGAATAACTTACCATGGAAGTTAGGTGACCAGATTGGTCATTTTGTTACATCTGAATTTTGAAGTCGCTTGTGTGATTTCAGGCCAGAGCTCTCATCACAAGGCTCACCGAGGAAAAGAACTCTGGGGTTCAACTGAATAACAACTTCAGCAAGAATTGGTAAGAAGTTTTTTCATCTGATCCTTATATTTTTGAATTATTTCTCTCTGTAATTTTCACATGCACTTTCTTAGCTAGTAGTTTCCCTGGTATCTGAGAAGCAGCCATTTTCTTGGTATTTTTTTTTAACTAGTACGAAGATTTTAGCTCATCATTTTCGGTGGCCTTTAATTATGTATGTTTTATTGGTATCTGAGAAGCAGCCATTCCTCTTTATTGCCATTTTGTGTAGTTCGTAATGTGGAGATCACTTTGAGTATTATATTTTTGTCAATTAGATACCTCACCATCATTTGTAATCATCATTTCCTCCCTACAGTGTCTATGCCATTTTGTGTAGTTCGTAATTGCCATTTTACGTTTTGTTCATTATTTTTGTTTTAGTTAACTTATTTTGCTTGATTTTAGTTAAGTTTTTAAACCGAACCTGCTTTCTAGGTTCACTATTGGATACTGCTGGTTTAGACATGTGCAATTACCTTTGTGTGTTGTTTTTTTTTCCTTCTAAGTTGAATTCGTTTATATGTGCGTGGGTCAAAATCAGAGATCAAGTATTTTTTAGTTATTTGTCGTGATGAAGTTGAAGCCAAATTTTTTGCCATGTCTTTTTTTGTTTTTATTCGTAGGTATGGACGAGGAACTTCCGAAACTGCTTTTCGAGCCTGGTTTTGTGAATGATATTGACAAGATCAACAATCGATGCATTCTTAACACAATGGACCCCGTTAAGAAAGCACTTTCAGACGAATACAAAAAAGTTCTGCTAGACCCTGTCTTTGGACCTGTTTTGTCGATTATCGAGAACGACATGGGGTGTCCACGTTGATCGTATATATACTCCGGTCAATGTCAAGAACAACCACTGGATATCTTTGTGCATCAATTTCGAGCTGAGAACAGTGGAAGTTTTTGATTGCGACGGGGGCAAACACAGCCGGTACGTGGATGCATTCACAAACATCATCCCTAGAGTTGTGAAGGAAGTTCAAAGTTACAAAGAGAAGAAGCAACTGGTTATTAAACCGTACACAGTGAAGTATGTTCCGATGAGGCTTGGGATCAATAGGAGCTCATGTGATTGTGGAGTTTATGCGCTCAAATTCATTGAGTGTCACATGCTTGGACTACAATTGTCTTTGCTTAACGACGACAACATTTACGCAGCTAGGATGAAGATCACCTATGATCCTTGGAAAGCAGCACATGATCCAATATTGATTGAGCGGATGAGAAAGTATGTGCCTCCGAAAACAGTGTGCTCAGATGATATTGTAGACTTGTTATAGGTTTGACATATTTCGTTTTAGGTGGTTCAGTTTTTAATTTTTATTTGGCATCGTATGTTTCGTTGCTTGACATTGTGTTCTTGACGTAGTGATTTTATGTTGCTTGATCTGATTGCTCATTTTTTTCATTGATCCAGAAAATTCAGCAACACAAGGTTTTCTCGTAAAAGGAAAAATATTCTACAAGAAATTTTTAAATTAGAAATTTAAAAATAAGAAAATCATTTTTTTGGGGTTTAGGAACCCAGTAAATGCATTTTTTTGGGTTAGAAAGAAGAAGAGAGAGAACGATGACAGCCAAAAAAGGGGAAAAAAACGTCGCTACAGCATTATTCTAAAAAAAAATGTTGCAAATTAAAAAAAAAAAAGATTTTCGAAATATTTAAGATCTGGAAGTTAACTAATTTTCTTAGATTTTCTCAGATTTTGGTAGAAGATGTATTCTACATTAATGTAGAATGTAGTCTAACAGGTAAAAGATGCATTCAACGTTAATGTAGAATGATGTCTAATATGTAGAAGATGCATTCTACAATAACGTAGAACCTGGTCTAACAGGTAGAAGATGTATTCTACTAACATGTAGAATATAGTCTATCTAGTAGAAGTTATAATCTATCAATCGGTAGAAGATATAAAGACCTATAGAAAACGACTTCTATATGCTGGTAGAATATGTGAAGAACTATAGAATTGGGGATTCTACGTGGACGTAGAACATACAACATGCATTCTACCAAGCGTAGAACGAATTTTATAAATATTTTTAAAAAAATTTCTTTCCATAAATGATATACGAAAATATTTTAAATTCCTTTTTATGTATTTTTGAAATTTTTAAAATATAATTTCGAATTTATTTTTAACTATAACTGCCATAACTGATTTAAAAGAGCAACTACGTCAAAAAGTGACAAAAAAAATAGAAAACATTAAGGAGACAAATGTTAATTCAATTGACATTATAAAAGCAATTCTCCATTTTAACTATCTATAGTTTCTTACTGCTTATCATTTTTTTTTTGTCCATTTTTAATTATTATTTTGTGTTTTTGCTTACACTTAACGACAGTGTTTTACCTTTTTTGTTGAAATTTCTGGTGTTAAGTTTTTCGATGACAATAAATAACATCCATTGTTTTTTTTTTGTCGAAAATAAAGAATCCATCTACACATCAAGACCCAAGAAATTCAAAAATATTATAAAAAAGTGAATCGGATATCCAAATGATCATACCGTCAGGAACAAGATTACGTCTCTACGTAAAGACCAATCACATATTCCTAAAAAGAAAAAAGAAAGAAAGAAATAAAGATTTGTATTAAGCTAGTTTAGCTACTGAGTTTTTTTTTCAGACCATTGACATTCTGCAAGGTTAAACAGTCGAAGTCTAGTTGACTTTGATCATAATACTGAAGGTTCTTGGCACTTTCAATATGGACGAAACGAGTGTCAATAACATAGGAACCAAAATGTAGCTTATCACTTGCTCTTTATCCCAAATTTTTAATTTTCACGTTTGATTTAGAAAAGCCTGTGAAAGAAACAAGTAATAATAATTAGCAAGTTTTGTTACATTTACTATTACTATTACCGCACTCAATTTTCTTCGACCCACACAACAAACAAACAAACTTACTTTATACATAACAAAACATCTGCTTAGTGCTTGGTACTTGGGTATTAACTTGTCCTGGGACTAATAATAATAACTAGCAAGTCTCCTGTTCTTCTGATTCAAACTGAGGAGGCATGACCCTCTTCCGTATCAGCATTTCCGCTGTAACTTGCTTCCTCTTTAGTCCACCTCTTGGTCTTGATGTGAAATCTTCATCAGCCTCAACAAAATCGCCCTGAAATGACCATTCAATTATATGTGAGATTCTAGTCTATTTGAGTTTATATCAGAAACAAGTTTAGGATTGAACTTACGCAGGTATATATGTGGCACCCGGACTTCTCGTGGTTGTCTCTGACATGTTTATACGCAAATCTCATGCCACAACCAGGAAAGCAACATACAAAGGGACGGATATCCTCATGCACCGCTTTCACGTGTTTCCGAAGATTAGAAGCCTGTGAAACCATTGTAATGTAATTAGGGATGTTAAAATTACAAAAGTTGCAGTAGCTCTGGATCATTCTTTACCTTTGAGAATGTCGAAGAGCAACCCTCAACTTCACACTTGAATTCCCCTGGTGAGGAATCTTCATCATGAGTCCGTAGGTGTCTCTTGATGTTCTTTTTCAAATGCTTAGAACCGCATATCTCACAGTTGATGTGCTGATGGCTGGATCTTATGTGTGCCTTAAGACATTCCTCGTTTGTAAAGTACTTCATACACCCAGGTTCAGAGCAAAATGCCTCCACAGAGTTCAATTTCACTGCAAACGTAATCCAATAAGTAACCTTTAGAGACTGGAATATTGACAGATACAAATATGGATTTACAGTACGAAGGGTCACTAACCATGAGAATCCTGGTGCTTTTGCAGCTGTGAAGCATACTTAAAGGCCTTTCCACAACCAGTTTCTTTGCAGACATGCTGCTTCTGACCAGCTGAACATTCCGAGGGCTGAGAATCGCCATTGCCAGTCTCATCCTTACCACTATTGCCATTACTAGCATCATCCTTAGCATTACCAGTCTCATCATTGCCACTACTGCCATTACTAGCATCATCCTTCGCGCTATCTCCATCACTATGAAACTTCTTAACATGCCTACTGACATTGCCATGTACTGAGAACTCAGACTTGCAATTCTCTATTGGACACTTAAAGCGCTCTCCTTTATGGGTAAGAAGATGCCTATTGAGATGATCCTTTCTCCTATAGTTAGCAACACAATCATCGACATAGCACGCAAAAGGTCTCTGCAAAACGAGAAAACAAAAGGCATCAGAAAATTAACCTATGGAAGACACAGAATCCAAATCATTGAACAGCTAAACAAGCTATTGTACATCAGATCTCAAACCTTTTGCGTGATCGAGGCGTACTTGCTGGAGCTTCTCAGGAGGTCTCCCAACCTGATACTAGTCCATAACATGTAGCCTCGCATTTTGGAGTTCACTCGTTGGGATCCAATGCCTCACGCAATAATATAAGTAAGACCTTTGGGTTTAACCAAAAGGCCATTTATTTCCTGCAAAGGCATAACTTTTTAGTTCGCAATAAGAACAAAACTCAGAACTAAACAAACCCACGACCATCTCTATCTCCAATGGGAACAAAACAAAATTGGGCTCAATTACCATACAAAACTACAAGTACTAGCAAGTAGATACAACAAGCAGAACGAGAACCATTCGTCCTCTCATGATAAGAGATTGAAGATGATGCGTAAATATACCTCGAGCGAATGACTCTGCATATGCTGCTTCAAGTGAGCAGGTTTCTTAAACTCATCACCACATTTCGGGCAAGTATGTTTACCAGTAGCTTCTTCTTCATCCTCACAAGCTTCATCATCTCTTTCCTCTTCAACTTCCATCTATAATAAACACGGAGAAATTCAAAGAGCAAACGAATCAGAAACCCAGTAATCCTACACATGATTAAGGAGAGTCATCAAACTAAGAGAAGCCTCAGAGAGAGACCCAAACCTTATGATTTTTATCGATGTGTGAAGTGATGAGATACTTTTTCGATCTGCTGATTCCGCAATACTGGCAGAGATAATTCCGTATGTCCTTGGTCTTCGGTGTCTTGACATCAACGCTTGCTTCTTCTTCCGCCATCTCTCTCTGATTTTCTACACAATAGCTAGGGTTTGTCTCTTTCACGACGCCGCACTCTCGGAGCTGAAGTAGCCAGATCTGTGAGCAGAAACAAAAGTGGCTATTTATATTTCACTTTCTTCGCGGAAAATCTAACCTAAAATACTTGGGCTTTCGATCATCTAATGGCCTCTCAAGCCCATCCAACTTATAATACCACTTTTAAATTAAAAATGATTAGCTCAAATTAGGTCATCAGATTAACAAAGTCTAGGCCCACCGATACAATAAAAACAAACAAGTAAAGAAAATTGATTAATTAGCACGTGTCACGAGTGCTACACAAAATCAGAACGATGACAAAGAAGACAGTCCTTCTTGTCATCCCCACACTAACCTTACGGACACATGAGCAATTTTTAACGTATTTTCCCCATAAATTTCACATCATAACACGATTATTAAAACGTATTATTAGTCCCACTAATCAAGTAAATTAGTAATTGACGATACCACAGCCCATAATAATGGGGGGAAACTTAATGATAAATCGATAAAACTAAAACCCTAAAATCCTATTTTATCTCTCTTCTTCCTCCTCTGTCTTTGCGCCAAACCAAAACCCACACAAAAGCCCTCTTCTTTTTTCCCCCTTGTTATCGTCTCGTTTTCCCAATCCACTTCTCTCTCTCTCTGAAATTAGGGTTTTTTCGAATTCCCCCTCTCCGCCTTCTTAATAGCTGATTTTCCAACCACAACAAAAAGCTACGGATGTGAAATGCTCCGGTGAAAAAAAAGAGATGCAGAAGATTCTGTGCAAGAGTAGCACTGTTTCAACACCTGTTCTCTCCGCTCCGGCTAACTCTTTCGCCGCCGGCTTTATCTCAACACAACCCATCGCCATACCTAGTCTTCTCTCTCTAGGGTTTAAGAGCTCCTGCAGAAATCCTACTCTCTGTTCCACTCCCAAACCTTACTCTACTTCCGCTATGCCTACAAGGACTGTCTCTATTTCTACAGGAAGTGGCGTTTTCTCCGGATTTTTGCAGAGAAACCGTATTCACAAAGCGGCGGCTTCGCTACGGTTCTCCGCCGCCGGATACCGAACTTGCCGGTGCTCAATCGACGGTAGAATCCGAAGTACGAGTCGGGCTTGGGTCGGTCGAAGCGGGACTTGGCGTTCACTGTTCTACTCCGAGTCTAATGGTGGGTCAAGCTCGGTTAATGCAACTGGCTCAGTGGTTGAGAGCGTGGGAGGCTCTGAGTCTGACGGAGAAGATGACGATGGAGAGAAAGATTCTACTGATAAGGTTGAGAAACCGGTGAGGATGAGCCGTAGAAATCGGAGCTCTAACGGTAATGGTGAATTAGCTGGTAATCCAGATTTGCTGAAGATTCCTGGTGTGGGTCTGAGGAATCAGAGAAAGCTTGTTGACAATGGAATTGGAGATGTTGCAGAGCTCAAGAAGCTCTACAAAGATAAGGTATACTAGTGAACTCACTTTTTTTGTCAAACTTCAATTTTCACTGTATCTTGTGGATAATATAATTTGGGGTGATGAGATATAATTGAAAGTGTGGCTGGTTGATTTTGATTTTTTTCAGTTCTGGAAGGCAAGCGAGAAGATGGTTGATTATCTTCGGAGCTCTGTTGGGATTGTACATAGAAACCATGCGGAGAGCATAACAACGTTCATCAAAGAGAGTGTGGACGATGAGCTCAAGGATTCTGGCAATGAACCTAAGCTTAATGCCAAGAAACGTTTGACATTCTGTGTTGAAGGGAACATTAGTGTCGGCAAATCAACTTTCCTCCAGCGAATTGCGAATGAAACGGTTGAGCTACGAGACCTCGTGGAGATAGTTCCTGAGCCAGTTGATAAGTGGCAAGATGTTGGACCTGACCACTTCAATATATTGGATGCTTTCTACTCCGAGCCTCAGAGGTATGCATATACCTTCCAGAACTATGTGTTCGTCACTCGGCTGATGCAGGAGAAAGAGTCTGCTTCTGGGATTAAACCTCTCAGGTTGATGGAAAGAAGTGTCTTCAGTGATAGAATGGTAATTTGGAATTGGAAAGAATGATTTTTTTTAATAATGATGTGTGATTGCAAACTTAATGTGTTGTGGAACTTTGCATATAGGTGTTTGTGCGAGCAGTTCATGAAGCGAAATGGATGAATGAGATGGAGATAAGCATCTATGACTCTTGGTTTGATCCAGTGGTTTCAGCTTTACCTGGACTTGTTCCTGATGGGTTTATATACTTGAGGGCGAGTCCCGACACTTGCCACAAGCGAATGATGCTCAGGAAACGAGCAGAAGAAGGTGGAGTCTCGCTGAAATACCTCCAGGATCTGCACGAGAAGCATGAGAGCTGGCTCCTCCCATTTGAGAGCGGAAACCACGGGATATTGTCTGTTAGTAAACCATCTTTACAAATGGACAACTCTCTGCATCCTGATATTAAAGACCGTGTCTTTTACTTGGAAGGAAATCATATGCATTCTAGTATTCAAAAGGTAAAGTGATCTCTCATTTTACTTTTGCGCTTTTTGTGCTATAGAGGTCTGAAGATAGATTCTTTGCTTAGACTTCTTGTCCATTGGTTTTAACAGGTCCCTGCTCTGGTTTTGGACTGTGAACCAAATATCGACTTCAGCCAAGATAACGAACTAAAGAGACAGTAAGTTCTCACGACTGTTGTGTCACCCTAACTTAAATTCCTAAAGCTAACAGATACATTCTTGTTTCGTATTGTTGAAGATACGCACGCCAGGTTGCTGAGTTCTTTGAATTTGTGAAGAAGAAGCAAGAAACATCACAAGAGAAGAGCAATAGTCAGTCGCCGCTGCTGATGCCACCTCATAATGGAGGTCTCTGGATGGCACCAGAAGGCAACCATGTCCCGGGATTAGAACTTCCCTCACTGAATTTCAGAAACGCTATGTCTCTCTTAACCAGACCGTCTGCGTAACTGGCCACGGACTCTGTTTTTTTGTTTTACTCTGCTCTAAGGAGCATTGTCCGGTTATCGAATGTCAATAGGTATGGTCGGCTTTTGTTTCGTTTTGTTTAGGAAAAAAAATCTCTCTTGCCGCTTTTGTCGCTCTTAGAGATGTAGAAACATGGTCTTTTTTTTCGTTTTAGTTATAACCCTTTTGTGTAGAGAAGATTGTTGATGTCTGGATAATTTATTAGGTGTTTTTGTTTCTTGAAATCTTGGTGGTCTAAAACTAAATTTCTAGTTTTCAGTTACCGGCTCTGTATTGCTCGGTCCAAGTTATTTTATTAAATCCCTATCATGGCTAAGCAAATATACATCAAGAAATATATAAACCGAAAACGACTAAGAAAAGCGTTTGGTCATGAGAACACGGCGTTTTCTTCCTATCCAAGTAGAGGTCCACGGTGGATCAGACTCGATAACGCTGTAACCAGCGTTTGAGTAGAGGTTCCGAGCGGCTGCGTCGTCTTCGTAAGCTCTTAAAGCAAGAAGCTTGACACCCCACAAGTAGCATATAACATCACATGCCTTTAGCAATGTACTTGCCATCTTCTTTCTCCTGTTGATGTAAGAAAACCAATCTTGTTTCTTCTTACTAATTTTTATTAACAAAAGAGAAGAGTGAGAGAGAGAGAGGGACACACACACACACACCTTTGAGCTTTGGAGACAGCTAAGCCGGAGACGTAAAGATATTCTTCGTCGCCGGGAAAATGACGGAGAACTGAGTTTTCCGTTTGAACTGTGATGTCAACTACTCCGACAACACTTGAGCTTGAAGATTTTTCAGCTTCGTTTGTTTGCTCAGCCACAAGACATGCATATCTGTTCATAAGTTTAATAACATTTATAAAGTTATAACACTAATCTTCTTCTTGAAATGAGGTTTTTTTTTTACGTTACCTGTCAGGAGATGAGTTCTTTAGTTTGTAGAGAAGCGCTGACAAAACTTCTGCCTGCAATATGTATATTCATTTTCATCAAAATATAATTCGGATGGTCCCAAATATATATTTAAACAAAATGTTATTTTATACCATTGAGCTATATATCACACGCAAAGAAACTTGAAATCCAAATTTAAACATAATAAAGTGGACAGTTGAGCGAATATGTTAAACCATTTATTCACACTTCTTTGCCCATACCGTTTATACGTCTATGATTAAACTCAAATCAAAATTTATCCATCAAAACGAAATCTTCATATACATCATCAAACCATATAATCCTATATGAAAACCTTATTTTGAAGCTGCTTATTTGGATAATTGGATCAAATAAGTAAATAGTAAAAAAAAACTAACCTGAAAAAACATAAAGAAAAAGTCATTAAAAAGAGCGAGAGGGATGTGAAAAGCTTCGGCCTGAACCAGAGCCACTCTCCTCAACTCGTCTTCGTCGTCTCTCCTCAACCTCCTCACGCCCCATCCGTGTTGACTCACCAAATACTTCAACTCTATCTCCGCCGCATTCTGAGTCAAACTCGTTAACGACTCAGTCGATGCGCACCGTACGATCACCGGGAAGCGGCTCCACGAAAGCTTCCATCGTCGATCTGTTCCTTGGCCAGACCTTCCCGGATATTGAAACTCTGGCCTAGCTGCAGAGTAGAGTCTCTGCGGCAAGTGAGCCATTTTATTTTTCTAGCATTTTATTTTTTTCAAAAAGAAGTCTTAATGTTCTCATTTTCTAGCATTTTTATACGATATCAAATGTAGAGATAAGATACGCTTTCTTACTTCCATCGTCTGTCTTTTTGTGGTTGGAAATCATCGCTAGCTAAGGACAATCCAGATAAAAAAAAAAAAAAAAAAAGAGATTTTAAGATTAGGATTTAAATAATTCAGCTGAAAAAAAATTGTGGCCCTACACGTGAAGATTTGAAGATTCTCAGAGCTCTTCCAAGTTTATTTCGATTCCGCTAAAGAAAATCCATGATTTTTTTTTCTTTTAAGCAAGAAATTCCGCATATATGATCTATAATCCTTTCATGTGAATGGAGCTAAAGATGCGATTTCAACATTCTATAGAGGAAGCGAGTCAACGCCACTAGACCAGACCAGTAACAATTGACATGAGTTTTTTTTGTTTTTTTTAACTTATGAAAAGGAAAAAAAACATTTTGGTATTAAGGGAAAAACTCTTATTTTATTGTTTTAATAAGCAGTGTATATATACATTACATAACTAATGTATGAGAAACCCTAATGGGCCATGAGACATTAACCTGATGGTTAATGGGCCGGTTACTAGAAGTCCATTTGTTTATAACACTCCCCCTTGGACAAGGTAACCGTACCTGTCCCAAAACCGGGATCTCTATAATGCGCTGGGGAACGTTGCCTCATTAAAACCTTACCAGGAAAACCCAGTGGGAAAAACCATGGTGAAGGAAAAAGAGTACAACACGCATTACTCCCCCTGGTTTAGGCATCACTGTAGATCTCTAAGTCTACGCATTCCTATCTGATGAATGAGCTTCCGGAGTGTAGAAGTCGATAATGATTTAGTGAACAGATCGGCTGAATTTTTGCTTGATCGGACTTGCTGAACCTTGACCTGACCATCCTTCTGTAGCTCATGAGTGAAGAAGAATTTGGGCAGAATATGCTTCGTCCGGTCACCTTTGATGTAGCCGTCCTTGAGTTGAGCGATACAAGCTGCATTGTCTTCATACATCACCGTAGGCTCCTTATCTTCGTCCATACCACAATCTGATCGGATATGCTGAGTCATGGACCGCAACCAAACACACTCTCTACTAGCTTCGTGAATGGCCAAGATTTCCGCATGGTTGGATGAGGTAGCGGCAATAGTCTGCTTCATGGATCTCCAAGATATGGCTGTTCCTCCATGCGTGAAAACATAACCGGTTTGAGACCGGGCACAGTGCGGATCTGACAAATATCCTGCATCAGCAAAACCAACTAGATCATCCTTGTTATGGTTAGAATAAAATAATCCCAAGTCCTTAGTACCTTGAAGGTATCTAAGGATGTGCTTAATACCGTTCTAGTGCCTTTGAGTTGCACACGAACTAAAGCGAGCTAAGAGGCTCACGGCAAAGCAAATGTCTGGTCTAGTGTGACTAGCCAAGTACATTAATGCTCCTATGGCACTGAGGTATGGCATTTCAGGACCGAGGATTTCTTCATCGTCCTTCTTTGGACCGAATGGATCACTATCCAATCCAAGGCTCCTCACAACCATTGGGCTGGTCAATGGGTGGGCCTGGTCCATATTGAATCTCTTGAGTACCTTTTCAGTGTATGCTAATTGATGCACAAGGATTCCGTCATTGACGTACTCAAGTTGTAATCCCAAACAGAATTTAGTTTTGCCTAGGTCTTTCATTTCAAACTCTGCTTTTAAGCATCCAACTGTTTGGGCGATTTCACCAGATGTTCCGAGGATGTTCAAGTCATCCACGTATACTGCTATGATTACAAATCCTTTGTTTTGATATTTTCTGATGAAGATGCATGGACTGATCGGATCGTTTTCGTAGCCTTCCCTGATGAGATATTCGCTTAACCGGTTATACCACATACGTCCGCTTTGTTTCAGTCCATATAAAGATTTGTTCAGCCTAATGCAGTGTTTATCACGAGATGCATGCTTATCTTTGAGCTCAATATCATCTGGTAATCTCATATAGATTTCACTGTCCAGTGGTCCATAAAGATATGCGGTTACAACATCCATTAACCGCAAATCTAAGTTTTCTCTTATGGCCAGACTTATGAGGAATCGAAATGTAGTTGCATCCACCACTGGAGAATAAGTCTCCTCATAATCGATTTCGGGTCTCTGTGAGAATCCTTGTGCTACAAGGCGTGCCTTGTATCTAACGACTTCGCCGAGTTCGTTTCTTTTACGCACAAAGACCCATTTGTTTCCCACTGGTTTAACATCGAATGGTGTCCTTAAGATCGGACCAAACACATTCCGTTTCTTTAAACTATTCAACTCCACGTTTATGGCTTCTTTCCATTTCAGCCAATCTGATCTACGAGTGCACTCAATTATAGACGTGGGTTCTAGATCCTCTTGCGTGTGCGCAATCTCAAGTGCTACCTTGTATGCAAAAGTTTCATTGATGTCGACATCTTTTCTGTTCCATAGAGAACCGAATATGATATAATTGATTGAGATCTCATTATTATCAATCCCTTCAGAACCTTGAGTTTTGGCGTCCCAAACCTCTTGAGATGGTTCGATAGGGTAAGTATCAGCTGAGGCTGTATCCGTGTTCTCTTGAATCCCGGTTTCAATCATTGCACCTTTCTTTGATTTCCGGGGATTCTTATCTTTGGAACCTGGTGGTCTGCCACGTTTCTTACGTGCGTCAGACTCTGTAGCAACTTGACTTTTCCCTGAGGGGACATCTATTCGTACTGGTGCATTACAAGCTGGTATGTACGATTTGGTAACTTTGTTCGGGTCAGCAAAGGAATCTGGCAATTGATTAGCTAGCTTTTGTAAATGTATAATTCTTTGGACCTCTGAATCACATTCTAGAGTCCGAGGATCTTGCCATTGTGTGGATGTTTGATTCCATGAAAGTTCTTTTACCAGCTTGTCTGTCTCACCACCTAATCTAGGATATACCGATTCATCAAATCGGCAATCTGCATATCTGGCTTTAAACAGATCTCCTGTAGTTGGCTCGAGATATTTTATGATGGTGGGAGAATCAAAACCAACATATACTCCCATCCTCCTTTGAGGTCCCATTTTAGTCCTATGTGGTGGTGCAATGGGTACATAGACTGAACACCCAAATGTTTTAATATGGGAGACGTCTGGCTCATGACCCGTTAGCAATTGGGATGGTGAATATTTGTGCTCACTAGATGGTCGTATGCGTATTAGTTCAGCGGCATGTAAGACTGCGTGTCCCCAAGCTGAGACCGGGAGTTGTGACCTCATGAGTAATGGTCTAGCAACCCATTGAATTCGTTTAATGAAGGATTCAGCTAATCCATTTTGTGTATGGACATGTGGAACGGGATGTTCAACACTTACCCCCATGGACATACAATATTCATTAAACGCTTGGGAAGTGAATTCACCAGCATTATCAAGACGTATAGTCTTTAATGGGAAGTCTGGAAAATGGGCTCGTAATCTGATGATTTAGGCCAATAACCTAGCAAAAGCCTGGTTCCTAGAAGAGAACAGACAGACATGCGACCAGCGGGTCGATGCGTCAATGAGGACCATGAAATATCTGAATGTCCCACAAGGTGGGTGAATTGGTCCACATATGTCTGTTTGGATTCTTTCCAGAAAGTTCAAGGTCTCTTTAGACACTTTGACTGGTGAAGGTCGGGTAATCAGTTTCCCTTGTGAGCAAGCTGTGCACTTGAGGTGATGAGAGAAAATACCATTTGGTTTAAGGCTGTGCCCTTTAGAATTCTGGACTAATTTACGCATCATGTTTGCACCGGGATTACCCAGGCGATCATGCCAAATAGTGTAATCTAAAAACCGTGCTTTGATAGCAGCATTAGCCTCAATCATACTGACTTTAGCATGGTAAATGCCAGTAGATACGGCGGGTATAGTTTCAAAAACTTGTTTATGGCCATTTATCATTTTAGTGATAATTAAAAACTCTTTGTTCCCTTCATCCTGAGTTTCGATATGGAAACCATTCAATCTTATGTCTTTGAAACTCAATAGGTTTCTCTTAGAACTGGGTGAGTATAAGGCATCAGAGATGTCTAGATATGTGCCATTTGATAACAGCACATTAGCTTGGCCATGGCCCTCTATTAGGCTCGAACTACCCGCTATAGTGCTAATGTTTGCGGTTTTGATTACTAAATTTATGAAGTAATTCTTGTCTTTTAGAATGGTGTGGCTCGATCCACTATCCACAATGATATCCATATTGTCTTGCATATCTTTATTAAACAAGAATTATAATTCAATAACATGCAAAAATGAGATGTAAATAAAACATTACTCCATAAATTAAAATGTAAAAGCAAAAGGTCTTAAAAATCCAAAGTAAAGACAATAAATCCCAAAAAACAAAAGATAAAAGTTTAAGGAGTAATGAAAAACAAATTCAGATTTTTGAGATCAATCAAGGAGGTCGGAGAGCTCATAATCCATGCCATCAATCTTATCATCCTTTGAGTCATCTTCATTGACTTGATGAACCAGGTTAGCCTCATGATTATCTTTCCCATACTTCTGGTAGAGCTCAGCAAGATATTTGGGAGTACGGCAGATCTTGACCCAATGATTAGTCATTCCGCATCTTGAGCAAGGAGTTGGTCTAGATGAACTGCCTCTTTGGGTCGGTTTGTTGATACCACGACCCTTACCCCGACCAAAACTGAGGTTAGGTCGGTTATTCTTCGACGGATTTGAAATCTTCGAACCGTAGGTTCTTCCAGTCGAAGTTGGCTTGGGGCAGTATGACCGTTTTCTGATGGTCATATCGCTTTTTCAGTGCCACCCAAAGTTCGAGTGGATCCTCAAGAGTGAGGTATTGTTGCTAGAGAGACTCAGCGAGGTGATGGCGGATAATAAATATCGCCGAGTACCGTTCTGTTTGAGTCGCGGTGTTGGGATCTTTGATGCATTCACCCAGACTTTTTGAGTTGAGGTAGATCTTGGTGCCAAGGGCCCATTTGAGGTAGTTATCTCCGGAGACAGTGAGTGCCTCATATTCG